TTTTCACAGTAGTCATTTTTACAGCTCACCAAAATTGATACATAAAGGACGAAATATATTTGGCAAACTATTTCATTACTATTAAAATAAGTTCACTAGTACGGTAAGGAAAAGGGCTTTGTAGTTTTGCGCCGTGTGCTAATATGTTCCTACTAAATTTAAATCAGCATTTCAAGAAGCACGAGCTCCTCCGATGACCATAAAACGATATTGTGCCTTTGAGCGAATATTTCGTTTTGCGAGATTAAGGCGCATTGGCTAGAGTGGTGGATGTTTGATGCTTGACCCACGACAATAACTGCCCCTTTCTTTTTGTTGGGTATGTAAGGTCATCCTTTCTTCGCTTTTTTAGCACCCGTCGCAATGACCCTCACCTCAGAGGATAGGGTAATGCACCCCGTAAACACGAGAATCCCAAACTAGCTTAGAGCTCGGAACATTGATACATTAGAGGAGCACCTTGATTCTGCAGTAAGTAGGAGTGGTGTCCTCATCAACTGGAAAGAGCTGAATTTACATCATTTTTCCCTCACAAATAAACACGACCCTATTGTGATGGGGCTTTCCATCATGCATGTTGAAAAGGCTCTGGGGTGTGCAAATATTACGTGGAACGCCAACCTCAGAGTTAGACCAAATGCCCTTTAGGTAGGCCTTGCTTTTCCCCTCTAGCCTAATAAGAGTATGAATAGGTGGACTCTTCGGCCTCCGTCTGACTTATGATATATCGCACTTGAGCCAAACCCTCGTGCACAAGGAGGATGATATGACTTTGCGCACGGGGATTCTTTGCCAAGATTACGCAACTGTGTACACTATCGGAACCCAAGAGACTCCTCTACAACACGGCAGACTCTTCCTTCGATCACTTTGCAGAACATAAACTTACGCGCCATCTACCGCTGAGGGATCGGACGTCCTAGCTACCTCTGCGGTAAGAATTTCAAAAAGACTGACCGTACTTGCAGAATGCTGACCGTACTGATGATGAAGAATGCGATTGCTGTGAAGA